AGTTTCCTCCTCAAATGCAGAGGCATTATGTGTGCTTCCACATGTAAGGCGTTAATGGGCGTTGAACGCAAAACTCCCAGGCAATACCTTATAGCTTTATTTTGCAGGGTATCCAGTTTGCGCGTAGTAGATTTTTACTTGCATCCCCATAAATGAAGCAGCCATAATCGAGTTTAGATAATATAAGCTGTTTATATATCCCGATTGCAACCTTTACGTCAGCGCCATACATCATGTGATTTAATACTCTCAAGATATTTAATGCATCTTCACATTTTCTTGACAGATTTTCCAAATGTGGACCCCATCGTAATTTGTTATCTATAGTCAATCCCAGACATTTTGTGGAAGTTTGTATTTTTAATGTGTATCTACCTAATTTTATTGACTCCATCGCAATAGAATTCCTTTGTCTGGTGAAAAAGGATACTGCACTTTTATTCTCGAAATTGAAAATCCCAGTGATGTGGTCCATTTTCCAAATGACGTCATGGTCTGATCCATTTTTTGATCACATCATTTAATGACACTCCACTATGTGATAATATTATATCATCTGCATATTGCATGATCCGAACGTCCTGGCCAATCTCATTTTGAAGGTGTGCCGTATATACGTTGAACAACAAGGGACTAAGGACAGAACCCTGAGGTAAACCTTCCGACATATACCGTGGCCCATAATGCGTATCTTTACATCTGAGGACTAATTTTCGATCTTTCAATAAGTGATAAATGTGAACAATAAATCTCTTAGGGAGTTTTAATTCATATAGAATGTTTATTAAAATCGGTATTTGAACCCTGTTGTATGCGTTCTCCAGATCCAAGTTGATAGTCAATACACAATTTTTCTTTGCCAGGTTGTTGTGAATTTCAAAGACGAAACTAGTTAGAACATCATACGTGCCTCTTTTGTTTCTGAAACCTTGCATATAACTTGGCAATTTCTTTTTCTCGAGCCACCACTCGATTCTTCTTTTCATTAAGCGTTCGAATGTTTTGGACATACATGACGCTAGAGAAATCGGCCGATATGATTCTATTTTTGTTGCATCCTTATTAGGCTTTAGGACTGGAATGTGATATATGTCCTCCAGTCTTTTACAGCAATCTCTTTAGTCCAGATGTCGTTGAAGACCTTCAGTAGAATTTTTTTTCCCCTTATCTGATAGGTTACTTAGCATGGGGTAGTGTATATTGTCATTACCCGGCGCAGTATTACTATTCCTTTTTAGTGCCAAATGTAATTCATCAATGGTAAAGGGACCTTCTAATTCGTCATTTTTTTCCATGTCCTGTATGTTGACGTCATTAATTACCGTATCCGGAGTAAGTGAGTAAGAAACTGATCAGCTAAGTTGTTAGGAAATGCATTGGTTCGAGGGCTCCATTTTCATAACCTTTATATGGTGCCAGATTTGTTGTGAAGACATGTTCTAGAGAAGGAGTTACAAAACTCTGTCCATTTATCGTATTTTTTCTTTTTAAAACAAATCGACACTTAGCTACCGCTCGCTTGTATTTTATATAATTGTCTATGTTTGGTATTTCTTTGTATTCTTAATTGCTTCGATTTTATTTCTTCACTTTGTTGCACTCCTCGTCCCACCAAGGATTTGATTTATTTCTATATTTCGTACCCAAATACGGATTTGTTTTTGGAATATTCATTAGTGCTGCATTATTAATGCATTCAATAAACTTGGAATAGGAAATCATCGGATTGGAGTTGAGATTAGTATTCGACAACATTCTGTCTACAGTTTGCGCATAACCTGACCAATCTGCATCTTTAATTTTCCACCGATATCTGTTTACTGGACTATGATCGTATTTAAACCTATTCTCGTTGCCTAATTTAAAATTAATACTAATTGCTAAATGATCAGATCCTAGAGTTTCATTTAATACACTCCATTCAGCCCTAATCATCACTGATGGACTGCATATTGTTAAGTCTACCGCGGAAGGATCCTATCGTGCCTTCTTATCATTGTAGGTGCTCCGTCATTCATAAGACATAAACCCTCTGCGTTTATGGCTTCACTAAGATTTATGCCTGCATTATTGTTTTTAAACCTCCAAAACTTATGTGGTGAGCATTACAGTCCCCTGCTAGTATTAACGGTTGATTTAGTTCCTGGAATAGCGACACCCAATATTCCGTTCCTGTCTTGTGACCGGGGGCACAATAAATCGCCACAATATTAAGTGTTATGTTATGTATGGTCAGCTTAATTCCACAAATCTGAATTTTATTGGTAATGAAACTGTTTAAATTTAACGTCTGAAATTGGTATCTCGGCGGATGAGTATTCCAACTCCTCCATAACCATCTTCTCTATTCTTTGATATAAAGGCGTATCCAGATATCTGAAATCTATTATTATCTTTGAGCCATGTTTCAGATAATATTACGATATCTATATGGTTGGTGTTCAAATAGGATTCTAAATGCAGCTTATTTGAAAAAACAGATCTGATATTGATTTGAATAATTTTAGCATTATTATTATTATTTTTTTTTATGATATTATCACTAAATGATTTTAAGCTTCTATACGTAATATACTGTGCTCACAGCCAAATCAAACTTGTTTGTCGGGTCCAAATTTAGACCTCCTCATTTTGTTTAGTATTTCTGACAACAGGTTATAATGTTCAGCGCTATTAGGAATGTATATATGTTTAATTTTTTCAATGAATTCGTTTAAGAAATTTAATGAACCATCTTGTTGAACATTGCTATTATTTTCGACTATTGCAGATTCACGTTCCACGCTCGGTTTTAACCTTTTTCTTGGGTTGAGGTTAAATTCGGTTTTGTTGTTTCTATTTGATACAGGTTCCTTCACTAACTGTTTTTTTATTGAAGATCCAGAATTGAATGGAGTATTGCTTTTGGTAATTTTGTAAGTCGATCTTTTAGGTTTATGAAAGGTTATCGGATTTAAAAATTCCGGTTGCTCCTCCTCCTCTAGATCAGAAAGGGCGTCGAACCTATTTTAGTTATCTTACTGTCTGTATCAGATGCTGGTTTTGCATACAAACCTGGAAATTCTTTATCTTTGCCCGTGAAACTGAATCCGACTTTTGACTTGTTTGCATAGCTGTCTTTATACAATATATTTCTGGCTTCATGGTATGCTAGATTCTGCCAAGCCATAATTTCTTTAATTTTTTTATTTTTAATAAATACCGTGCATTCTTTATCATTTGCAGGGTGATCCCCATTGCACAACGCACATAGAAATTTGGATGCTATACATATTTTCGCATTATGTTCTCCGGAACATTTCATACATCTCTCTTTTCCTCTACATTGGTCCTTAACGTGATTGAACCGACAGCATTTGTAGCATTGGACCACTTTCTGTACAAACGGTCGAACCTCACATTTTACCGAATGTATAGCTACCTATTCGGTAAACTTGTGCCTCTAAACGTTAATTTGACACATTGTATTATTATTTTCGGTCTTAAACATACCACGTCTATAATCGGAATATCTGTTTCAATGGCGTTTATAATTTCTTGTTCTGAGAGATTGGCATCCACATCAAATATTATGCCATGCCTTACAAGTAGGTATTTCGGGATGTATGCCTTCAGATTATTTTTTTCTAAAATTTTGTCATCTAGAATTTTGTTCGCCACCCTGGCGCTTTTAAATTCCATCGTTACTTTATTTTTTCCTATAACCGAAA